TTATGCGGACTAGGCTCCCTACTGCTTCCATGGGAGGGGTGAGCTCTGCAGCTCCATAGAGATACAGTGAGGGAAGGTCAGGAGACCTTGATTTAAGTATGAGCTTTCTTCTACTGAAGAAAGAAGAAAGCCCTTAGAAGGCAGAGAAAAGCCCTTAGAAGGCAAAGGAAAGGAAGGAAGGGAATGCCCTTAGAGGCAGAATAGAACAGAATCCACATGGGACATAGTACTTGACCACTTCAGTGACTTCAGCGTGTCTATCCAGGCTCTTGTACCCATTTTACAGTGTAGGAAGAAAAGCTGTCTCCCACCTGAATTCAAATGAAAGGTGTAGTACTTTCCACAAATATTATCATGCTTGAAGTGTGATTTGAAGAATCTATTACTTGCATGAGAAAAATATGAATGCAGTAGAAGACCATGCTGTGATATTTTCCTTTAGTATCTGCACTTTCTTTCATATTGGTGACTCAGCTGACTGAGATGTGAACCTGGAAAAGGCAGTAATGTGGTTTGGGAGAGGTCACAGCTGTGAGAGTTTGTGTCCTTGCTTTGGACTGGCCCTAGTTTTGTCTCCTAAATCTCTGTCTCTTTGGGACAGTAAATAATTCTATCCCTTAGAACAATTAAATAATTCCTTAGCCCTGGGCTTTCCATGATCATTGGGTTGCTCTTAGCTTTGTGCATGAGAAATCTTCACACACTTAGAGAATGATCTCTAAAGCAGTTAAGGTAAGTCATAGAACTTTTCTGTGAGCTTCCACTCTTCAGCGTTCATTCAATGAATTATTGTAATATTGCTAGTGGGCTTGAATATGACTTTATGGACTTACATACTTAAAATAAATGCACTGAACTATGTTAGCAGAGCTCACTGACATCTCTTATTTGACCATTGCATACTGCATTTTACTATGGAATCTAAATGGAAATAAAAATACCAAATGCTTGATTATTTTTGATTTTGTTTCTATTGTGAATAGAACAGCGGTAGGGATTGTTTGGCTCTTTTTTGGTTCTGGTTTGCTTGGCGTTTTGTTTTATTTTTTGATCTTTTCTGTTTTGGTTTTTGTTTTGTATTCCTAAGCAGCGACAATATAGTTCCTGCCTAAGGTCTATGTTATTGGGGATGGGTCTTCCTGAAGAATTCACATGGCTCCCTTAGTAGGAGTGGGGAGTGACAAGGCAGACCCAGCGGGAGCAGGCACACAAACATAAGGCACACAGTGGTCAAATTAAGGTTTTTATTGCCTCCCCTTCTGCGCGGGGGCTCCCCAGTTTCCTGATGGGAGGAAGAGAACAGTGGGGAGATTCCAGGCACCATTGAGCACTTGTCCATGGTGAGGAGCGGGGGGAAGGGTAACCAAAGCTCTTATACAGCTACTAAGCACATTATTGTCCCATGTTACGATTTGATGACATCATGTAAGCATCATGTGGTACAATGCACGATAACAGGCAGAGTCCGTGTATGTGACATGGCTATAAGCTGAGCATGGAGTACAGTTTGCTCTGGGACACGCTGACCTGTCTGGCCAGTCCCCATCACCCATCTCCTCGATATTCTTCCACGTCTCTACAGTAGGCTAGAAATGTATGAAGAGGTTTTATTTCCATGGGGTGGGGGAGCAGGGAGAAGGGAGTATGTTTGTAATAAAAAGTGGATAAATATAGTAATAAAAAATGAAAGTAAGCATCTCACCAAATACAAAACTATGAGCTTTCTGTGGATTGATTGATTGATCTATCTATATCATATCTATCTATATATAGATAAATATATAAAATTTCCGAAGGTTGCCAAAGCCACTGTTCAATAAGCAGCTCCTAGTAATGCCATTTAGAACAACTAGTCCTAATAGTCTTGCATGTGGTTCTGTAGCTAGATCTGCTATGGAGAAGGTCTTGAGACCTCAGTCTTTTTCACTGCAGGTAAATATTCTAAAGCTCTGGAGGTAAAGGAAGGGGAAAAGAGGAGAGATCTTGATTGTCTTCTGTTGCATTTAGATGATCCAGTAATTATCAGCAAGGGGATGTGTAGCAACACAATTCAGCCAATCCAGGGCTACACAGATGTCAAGGGGAAAAATTACAAAGGGATAGATCGAGAGACCTGCATGTTAAGCAGGGCAATAACTTGTTTCTTTCAGGAATGGGAGGACTAAAGCTGGTAAAAGTCTTGGTACCAGGCAGGAATGTGTTAGGTGCTTCATTTGCTTTTCCCCCCTTTCTATTCTCCCTCCCCTCCACCCATGCAGCTGCAAGGAGAGACTTCCTTGAAAGAGTGAGCTGGTAACAGCTCTTTTGTTACCAATAAATTAAATGGTACTAGTGAACAAGCTAAAACTATTTAAGGAAACTATGTCTGTCTCAGGTGTAGCCTTGCTCCAATTACTGCTGAGCAATTTTGCAGCACAGGTAGGGATTAAGTAAGACAAAGGCTGTTCCCCAAGGGCAGCTTAGATGAAGATATCTTGTCTTGGAGCTCAAAGAACTTAACGGTACTGGCCCCTTAGCTGGGTTTTCAGGACTAGAGTGCAGGCTCTAAGACAGTGTAGTTTACTAGTGCAGAAACAGTAGGGGAGTCCTCCTGAAATCCTAAGCCTTTGCATTTAGAGATATTGTCCCACCTTGAACTCCAAGGTACCTGCTGCTGGGACAATTCTGCATACAGAGCTACTAAGCTACCCAGTTACTTAACTGGGTCCTGGATATCACCCTCTTGAAGGCATTGACTAATATGACCTTGGTTTTTAGATAGTTAAACTGAGATAGCAGTGCTCGATGACTGGCCACATATAAGCAAACAATAAAAGTGGATCCTTCAGATTATAGACTTTCTTATCTGAAGAACTAAAAAACAAAGTTTTCCCTTCAGTTTCAGATGTGGAAAGAACAAGATTAAAAGCACTGACAGTCCATCAAACTAATATATCTGAGTATGATGATGCTCAATAATTAACACCATCCAAGAAAGATGAAATTATCTTCATATGCATCTGCTGGTGCTTTGCCAGCTCTAGCAAGCAGGTGCTTCTTTATAGCTGTCAACTGCAGTCAGAGTCTGCTCCAGATCAGATTTTCAGGTCTCATTCTACAAAAAAAAATCTCATGACCACATTGTGATTTCAGTTCCTTGAAACGTATGAGAGCTGCATCTAAATCAGTCCAGATGGAGTTTGGTATCTGTGGGGCTCTGCATCTGTTGAAATCCTGATCACCTGTACAGGCCAATAGTAACAAATATATACTCTTGCTGAAAGACTAAAGCTTGTGAGAAATGTAATATGAGGTAAAACAGGAGCATTAGGCATGTACTTGAATGTAGGTGTTTCTTGGACTAACAGGGCTAGCTGTATAAGTTTGAACTCGGCTGCCCTTTTTTTTTTTTTTTTTCCCCAGACATTGAATTGCACGCTGATTAATGTAATATGCATGTACTGTATTAGAAGAGTATAGAGACAGCTCAGGTTAAGCCTTGTAGAATTAAATATACAATAATATTTCATTCCAAGCAACTAAAGTGAACAGAAAGAGGAAAAGGGCAAAGGAGAGAAGGAGGAAAAAAAAAAAAAAAAAGGAGAAATTAGCTTTGCAGTTCCCTGCTAAAGGATGTATCAGTAAACAAACCATCTGCTCAACACCAAAGTGCCGATCTATCCATCCTGGTGAGAGAAGCCTGTTACCTCCTGCCTGCTGCTCCCTGGGCCTTCCAGCTCCCTGTGGAGGGAAGGCTGCCAGCCCTGCACTGCAGCACCGTGCCACCTCTTCTCCAGGCTTTGCTCTTCTCTGGCCTCAGGGAGCAGAGTCTGTCAGCAGAGAGCCCCGTCTTCCAAGTCAATCTGCAATTAGATTTACAAAGCAACCCATTTTTGTATAGTGCACTGAGACTTGTGTGACACTTATCAGATGAAAGTCAGAGTAATTAAAGATTTGGGTTATTTCCTGGTTTGTTGGCATTTTCAGTTTCTTTTTTTTTTTTCTCCCCTATTTTAAAGGATTTTTGTTCACTTTAGCAAGCAGCTGATCTCACAACTTCTAATAAGGAAACTTTATGTTTTCTAGAGACCACCTGGATTTCAATATACCCTGAAAGTAAACTTTGCATCTTTCTTATACCTGATCATTTCAGGTCAACCAAAGAAAATGAAGGGGAGAAACAGTATAGTCTTATTTATTCTAGCAATCTGATGCAAAAAAAGTCTGAAATGTAAAAATTTGCAGACATTGAAGAAAGGCAGGTATACATTAAATACAGAAATAGGATATGTTTCTGCATATATTAAAAAAAAAAGATAGACTTTATCAACAGGTTTCTATACAAATGTCAGTGTTTATATTTCCTTTCCAATATTTAGTGGTCATTAATTATTAGATTATAATTATCTGTCAGATATATAGAGCAAGATACAGAGCATGTGAGTGATATTTATTTCATTATGAGTAAAAATGTTCTTAATATTGCTTAGTTTCTTGATTTTTAGATACAGTAGAAAAGTGGATAAATAGACAAAGCTTGGACTAACTATACATATTCTTGCTTGTCCTAATATTAAAGTGCCTACAAATCAATATACATTTAGTATTCCTGTAATGGTGTTATATACATTTTTTTTCAATTCACATTAAAAATGATGGGTTTACCATTGTCCTTGTTGAACAGATCAGTCAGAACAGCGATACATACGTCCTAGTAGCATTGTTTGGGTTTTTGTTTTGACTTTTGTACCTGACTAGGTTTAATGTTTTTTAGAAGCTCATCATGAGAAAGCAAGACATAAAGACAGCAAAAAACAAGTCTTCCAGCTGGGCAGCCTGCAGCTCGGGTCCAGGCAATCCTACTCCGTTCCTATGTACAAGCACAACCGCGTGCTCCTTCCCCTGCGCCCGCCAGATATCCTTTCAGGCAAGAAGACTTGCTGGACTTTTTGCTGTAGTATTTTTTTTTTTTTGGAAAGAGGGGAATCCCAGCTCCCCGAGGCGGGTGCTCGGCCAGGGTCCTATGCTCGGGGCACGCCGTTGAGCAGCTCCGTCAGCTCGCCGATGTACTTGATGGTGTACTTCAGCGTCTGTATTTTGGTGAGGGGCTGGCCCCTCTGGCTGTAGGCGGCGGGCAGGTAGTTGCGCAGCGTGTGGAGGGCCTCGGCCAGCGTCCGCATCCGCAGCTTCTCCCTCTCGCTGGCTTTCCTCCGGCGCTGGGCCGACATGCGCACCTTGGTGCCCTTGGGCAGCCGGGCCTGGCCGGGGCTGGGCAGGGAGGCCCTCCAGGCCGTATCCAGCTAGGCTGCTCCCGCTGCTCCCGCTGCTCAGGTACGGAGTCTCCGTGACCGCTGGGCACGGCGACGGAGAGTAGCACTCGAAGGAGGGAGCTGGGGACAAGCTGGGAGGAGACGAGTCCTGGCTGAGCTCGAAAGTCCCACCGTTGCTTTTCCACTCCCAGGGTGACAAGCAGGCAGCGTGCTCCGAGCCCAGGCCCTCTTCCATGTTTACCAATGTCTCGTGGAGCTTGTCCATGGCGGAGGAGCGCCCGCGAGGAGCAATTCCCTCTGCCCGGCGGCGAAGGCTGGAGCCTGCGGCCGCGGGGACCTTTTTATGATGGCGGGAGGAAAGTGACAAAGTGGGAACGCTGCTTTGGTGAGAGGAGTTCAAAGGGGAGCCACAAGTGCGAGGATGGAAAATGAACTCCTGATGTGCTAGTTTCTCCTCGGTGATAATTATCAGCCTTCAGCTAAAAAGCCTTTAAGCTAACAGGCAACAGCGAGAAAGGAGGAAAAAAAGATTATCTTCTTGTAACTAAACCAATTAAGGCTGCACATCCACATGTAACCTTGCTCTGGTGGGATAAGCAGGGGAGAAGAAAAAGAAAATTATTGTTTTTCAAGAACAGTTTGCAGACATAGAATTTAAAGATAGAGTACATGACTACAGATGTCAAATTAAAACAAGAGCCCCATCTTCTGTGTAACTCAAAGCAATAGCACTACCGCATCCCATGGATTGCATCCTGCTGTCCGCTGAGGAGGAATCCCATCATTATCTGTGTGTTAAAAAAAAAAAAAAAAAAGGAAAGTTGGAGATGGTTCCCTTGCATGTCAGTGGGTCCTACTCTGGGGGCTTCCCCTCCTCATTAGATTATAACTTTAACTTCACTTTGGATCTATTTGGCTTTCAATGGGAGAAAGGAAAAAAAAAGTTCATCCCTTATAGTCTATATGCTATTTTGCCATTTTACATCATGAGCTGAAAAATCAGATAATCAAAGTTCTATATGTGGAAGATATAAAAAAAATATTTTAAAAATGGCTAAGAAAATAACATAAACACTGTGTAGACCTTGGGCCCATACAAATGTTTTACACAGAAATTGATTCGAAGTTGTAGTAAAGTAGATCTGAATGGATAACAGAGAACTAAAAGCTATTTATGTAAAGCTTTATAGCTCTAGGCATCCTTTCTTCTACCAAAAGAAAAAAAGAAAAAAGCCTTTTTCATCTCCTAGTGAAAGCAACAGTGAAGTTTTATCTTAGGCGATTCAAGTGAAAACGTAGATCCTATAAATTAGTAGCATTAATAAGGAGCAGTTCTTATCTCTGGGTCTTAGAACAATTCGCAGATGATTAATGATCCCTATTACTCTAGGGAAATGGATAAGCAGAGGCAGAAGAAATTTGCCTGGAATCACACCGTAAGTCATTAGCAGAGCCAGGAAAACTTTCCAGAACTCTGGAGCTCTTCAGCCATGGAGCAACGCAGCTGCCAGCCCTGACATTGCTTCGACCTCTTATCAAAGTAAAATAGAAGAGATAATGAAAAGAAGGAGAAGAAAAAGTGATGGAGGAAAGAAATAAGATTAGGATTTGTTTTTCAAGATTACTTCTGTGCAACAATTTCTGTGTGCGCTGCCACCCAATCTCCTCCAAAAGGTGGGGAGAGCCTCTGGGTGCCATAGAACCAAGGAGAGCTGCAGCTTTCTGAAAACCACCATTTCATTTTGGTTATGAAATCCTAACTGCATTCATTAAGGGGAAAAAAAAAAAGTTAATTCAAATTAGGGGCAAGTCCAGTATTTCCTGAAGTCCTTAGGAAAACCCTCATGGATTTTTGAGTTTTAAATCAATATATTCAGAAGTAGCTAGTTTTTGTGCTGAGGTGAATAAGAGAGAACCACAAGTCAAAGGTGAAGAGTTTCAGCAGTCTAGCCATGACTGACAGGTTGAACTGTCCATGTTTGCTCTGTAAAAATTCAGAAAACGGCTTGTCATAGTCAAGATTTCTTTGGGTTTTATGATTAGCTTTTGAACTCTCATATATTCCTTCCTTAAGGAAAATGAGCTGAAATAATCATAAAAATCACAAATGTCTGCTGTAAGTTAAAATTAAGGCAATGTGAACCACAGGTATTTTCTGTCACTTCTGGAGAACTGCCTGAGCACCAAGCAGTAGTCACATGTTAGAGACAAGGTCCAGCTAGGTGTCTCGTTTTTGTCTTAGTTCAAATGTTTCTCCCACTCTCTTCCTGTTTTTATCCCAATATGTGTGCATTATAGTGTCTTTTCTGTTTCACATCTGCCCCACTCTTATTTTATATCTTTTCCTTTCTTGATACACACAACAATCAGAAGTCCAAAAAAGGAAAAAAAAAAAAGAAGAAGGGGGAAGGGCAGGAATTGCTGCTAGAGTCTGCCAAGAAGAAGGAACTTCTGAATATATAAGTCTTTCAGATAAATTCCTGTATAAACTTTTCTGCTCAATAGTTTTGGTTTTGGAATCAATTCTAAACCTTTAAATGCAGACAAATTTAGAAGTAAAACATTTTATAATGTTTTGATGACTATAAACAATGCATGTTGACAGTGAATTTACCCTAATTCTGTGGGTAAATCATAGAAAATGTTGTTCAGAAACCAAAAGGGAAAAGGTTTTGTGCATATTCAAGATGTCATTGTTGTAAATGGCAAGAGAATATCTTCAGCTTTTATCTCAGTATGCCAAAATATAGTGATTGGGATAAGATTAAGCAGGAAAAAGTAAAGTCAAATTAGAGTGATAACCATTTATTGTTTGTTTCTTATATCTTAAGACGAGCGTATATAGCTACTAAAGCAGAATGTTAAAGTATGTACACAATTGATCCAATTACTTGAATAAATCTGCTCCTTGTATAAGCCTATGTTCTCGTTAAGCAACCCAGGCAAGAAAAAATTACAGGTTTCTCTATATTAATAAATAATACAGAGCTAGTGTTTGTGCTTGAAAACATCTTGTTTTTCTATAGACTGCAACTACGTGATATTCTTTCACTAAAGAGCTAAGCATGTCTAATATTTCAGGTGACACCTTCCTAGAATGCAAATAAATGCAAAACCAGTCATGTTTGCAATCTTTTTTATCCCACTTCACAATTTCTCACAAAATTCGGGGAGTTTCATATCTGTCAGATATGTCAATCCATTGAGGAGTAGACAGATACAACACTAACACCAGTGAAATACTCACTGACATTAAAAATGATAAGCTTTTTTCTGCTTGACTGATAATTTGGGTTTCCATTACAATACTTTATTCTGTCATATAAAAGCTAACACCTTAATCTTAATTTCCTTCAAAATAAAGGTTCTTTGCTCATATTTCTGATTTTATTGCAGAAAGGAGGAGAACCAAAAATACACATGAAAGAAGCAAAAACTTTTTTATTAGAAAACTCCATAGAATAGAAAAAATTTAGAGCTTCCATAGATACAGACGTAGAATTTAAATTGCAAATAAGGTCTCCAGGTTATCACTGTCATCTGTGAATACAGTTATTTATATATAGCTATTTATGTTTACTTTTTAAATAAATATTATAGTGCATATTTTTAACAAGTTTTGAGAATAGTAGGGGGAATAGACATGAAACAATTAAAAAAATCAGATAGCAAAAATGGTATAAGCAATCTGAAACAGAATAAACATGGATAAATGAATTTCTACACTACTAATTCTTTCATATATCTCATTTAGGATGAGGATAAAAGTCCAGTGTTATTTTATTGGGAAGAAGCAGATGACACTAGTATCCTTGTACATCACTCAGATCACAAGGCCTTATTTTAGAATTTGTGCCATGAAAAAAAAAGGCAAGTATGTCCATCCCAAAAGCTGCTAAAGTCACTGACCTTCTTCCTCAGCCCGAGGTCTCCCGAGTGCTCTCCGCCCACGCGCATTGCCAGTGGGTGCCACAGGACCTGCCTTACTGAGGAGCGGGTGCGCGAGGCCGTCACCCCCACGTACGGACGTGGAGCCCGCGGCTGCAGCTCCCGCTGACCTCGGCGGACGCAGCAGGTGTTCAACACTTCCAAAAGTAGCTTTGAACACCTCGCTCTGTGCCCAAGCTGGCTGGAAGAATCCACCACTTTTTGTTATCCAGAGTCACCTTAGATACCAGACTTTGCATCTTGGCCTTGAAAGGCTTCCCCTTCGTATGCATAAATGCTTGTTTTCTTTTTCAATGAGTAGACTTTGCTGTTTTTTTTTTTTTTTTAAATCTTTCTATAAAAGATGCTCCAATGTACATCCAAACTCAGCTGAAATAAATACAACCTCTAGGTTAACAGTCTGAGTTGTGTCAGCAAATACTGACTCTCTTTCTTCACAGAAACTTAAGGAAAAATTTCTTAACAATGAGGGTGACAGAGCACTGGAACAGACTGCCCAGAGAAGTTGTGGAGTCTCCTTCTCTGGAGATCTTCCAAACCCCCGTGGATGTCATCCTGTGCCACGTGCTCTAGGTGACCCTGTGCGTGCAGGGGGGTTGGACTAGATGACTTCTAGAGGTCCCTTCCAACTTTAAGCATTCTATGATTCTATGGTTCCTTTTTTTTTTCACAGGTTCATCCACAGCATGGATGAACAACTAGTAAACAATTCCCAGAGGGAAAGAAAACAGTAAGAGAGCCAGGAGTGGTACTGAGTCCAGAGCTGTGAAAAAAAAAGCCCACAACCCTTACCACAATCAATGAAAACCAAGTGTGAATTGGATCCCTAATTGTTATTATCACCTTTGGCCAGACAACCTCAAATACTGTAACCAGGATGAGAGAAAATGATGCTATTCATTTGTAGCGGGAAGAGAAATAGGCCAGTGCTCGTGTGCCTGAAAATCCTATCTTAAACCTTTAAGTTTCTTAGGACCATAACTCCAAAATAACAAATTAAAAATCTGCTCATGGAAAAGAAACTCCAAATGAGTATCATCAATTGCCCTGGGGCTTTACATAGCTTCAAGCATCTCTCTAGACTTCCATTTTATGGGATTGGGACCCATATATTTGCTTTACATCCTCAAATGTAGGTATTTGATCCTCCAAATAGTGGCAGTCACTACTGACTGAAAAGTGACATCACTCCGCAATTCATTTAAAACATCTGATCTCCAAGCAACTGGCTCCCCAGATGAAAAGGCCTATGTGTCGAATTTACACCTATCCACCTTTTAAGTAGGGAGTTTATTACCTAGTGGTTTTCAGCTGATA